ATATACTGTATAATTCTAAATAAAAAGTGTACAATAATTTAAAAAAAAAAGTGATATTTCCCAAAATCTAGTACAATTTATACTATGGGTTAAGTCACTCAAGGACAAATTGTCCGTACCTTATAACAAACCCATTAATGAGCAGAGGGGGTCATTTTTATGTATTCCTTACTCCATGCCTGGTGACCGGAAAAGGTGAACAGAGTACTTAGAATAATAGTGATACATTAGACAAACCTTAGATCTTCCAGGACTCCTCGGGGGTGGAGCATGTGGATCTTCTGAAACCGGCTTTAGGGTTGACATCGGCTTTAAGGGCTGGATATCTTCATCTTTAAAGCTCCTCACAGCTGCCCTGTAAGACTGATTCCTTAAATTCCTTTTTAACCCACCACTATCAATATCATCCTCTACAGAAAGCTCGGGGATGGCTAGTCTCTTTTGCTCCCTTTGCAGAAATTCCTTGGTAATAGTTGACGATGCAATAGTGTGGTGCCGAGGGTTCTTAGTCTTTGTGGCAATGGCCAAGCCTTTTGGAATCAATTGCTGAGTTCCTAGTTTGTGGGCAGCCGGGCTCTCTGTACTCAGGATAACTCGGTTGGCCTCAACTGGGGTAGGGGCCCGGTCTGGGAGGTACGAGGCGTTATCCACGGGTTTCAACGTTTTTCGCTGTTTGGAAAAATTGGCTTCGGCGTTTGCATTTTTGTCATACAGAAGATAAGATTGGTCACCCACGGATGGGTCTGAATATCGGTTAGACATGGTGCAGAAGATTTCTAAAAGAAAATATAAAATAGGATTTAGTTTTTATTAATATAAACCAAAAATATAATTTCTAAAAGAAACATTGTAACCATTACCGGGTCTCCCCGAAAATAAGGCAGTCTTATTTTCTTGCCCCCCCCCCCCCACCCCCCCAAAAAAAAACAACACACACTAGGTCTTATTTTCAGGGAATGTCTTATTTTGTTTTTTTTTAATGTGCAACAAAATGTACAACAATCCAAAGTTATCGGGTATACTGGTTACCTGTCACAGTAACTGGCGCTATAGAGGAAGTACCGGCTAATGTGGCTCTGCTCCCTCCGACGCCGAAGCCTTACTTTCTACAGCGCCGGCTTCCTTTGCTATCAGGGACAGTGGTACTAGCGGTGCAGCAGTGGGGACATTAGACAGCGCGGTAACGTACGTAGACCATTTACCGGTACACATTACAGTACCATTACATTAAGCAGTACCTTCAGGGGGGAAGGTAGAGGGGGGGGGGGGAACAACAGTTGAAGTATGGTACTGGAGTGCTCCCCATCACTGCGTTGGCTGGAGGGAGTCCCCTGTCATCCCCTTAATACAGTATGTCCCTGCAGGCTGATGCCATCTCTCCTGCCCTTCAAGTTCCCCCCTCACAAACTACCACCAAACTAGGTCTTATTTTCGGGCTAGGTCTTAGATTACAGGAATCTTGAAAAATAGTGCTAGGTCTTACTTTCGGGGAAACACGGTACATATGGAAAACTGTAAAAGAGAAACTGGCTAGAGTTGCTCCAGGAGAGACGTTGCCATAGTACACATGATGGAGGATGAAGTAGCAAGTCTGATAACGTGTTTCAAACATGTTTAGCATGTAGGATAAGCACGGAGAGGAATCTGCATGAAAGGCAACCCTTCCTGTTATATATAGTGAGCAAGCTGCAATCATATTCTGTAATTCTTAAAGTGTAACCCCAATTAGTTTTAAGTATGGGCGTTGAAGAACTTCTCTTTTATTGTTGTTTGAGGCCTCTTTGGAGACATTTTCCCTCACTTCCTGTTACTTTGACAATATATAGATGCCAACTGTCCCAGTGCCTCGCTCAACCAGGCCAGGGCTACATCCCCCGGTGCCTCGCTCAACCAGGCCAGGGCTACATCCCCCGGTGCCTCGCTCAACCAGGCCAGGGCTACATCCCCCGGTGCCTCGCTCAACCAGGCCAGGGCTACATCCCCCGGTGCCTCGCTCAACCAGGCCAGGGCTACATCCCCCGGTGCCTCGCTCAACCAGGCCAGGGCTACATCCCCCGGTGCCTCGCTCAACCAGGCCAGGGCTACATCCCCCGGTGCCTCGCTCAACCAGGCCAGGGCTACATCCCCCGGTGCCTCGCTCAACCAGGCCAGGGCTACATCCCCCGGTGCCTCGCTCAACCAGGCCAGGGCTACATCCCCCGGTGCCTCGCTCAACCAGGCCAGGGCTACATCCCCCGGTGCCTCGCTCAACCAGGCCAGGGCTACATCCCCCGGTGCCTCGCTCAACCAGGCCAGGGCTACATCCCCCGGTGCCTCGCTCAACCAGGCCAGGGCTACATCCCCCGGTGCCTCGCTCAACCAGGCCAGGGCTACATCCCCCGGTGCAGGTCCAGGTCTTCACTCTCCGGTTCCTCCCTCAACCAGGCCAGTGCTACCTCCCCCGATGCCTCGCTCAACCAGGCCAGGGCTACATCAACCGATGCCTCGCTCAACCAGGCCAGGGCTACATCAACCGATGCCTCGCTCAACCAGGCCAGGGCTACATCCCCCGATGCCTCGCTCAACCAGGCCAGGGCTACATCCCCCGATGCCTCGCTCAACCAGGCCAGGGCTACATCCCCCGATGCCTCGCTCAACCAGGCCAGGGCTACATCAACCGATGCCTCGCTCAACCAGGCCAGGGCTACATCAACCGGTGCCTCGCTCAACCAGGCCCGGGCTACATCCCCCCGATGCCTCGCTCAACCAGGCCAGGGCTACATCCCCCGCTCAACCAGGCCAGGGCTACATCCCCCGGTGCCTCGCTCAACCAGGCCAGGGCTACATCCCCTGGTGCCTCACTTAAATCAAGAAGTGGAAAAACAGATTGTAAAAAGGAAAACCAAAATATGTTTAATGAATGTAAAAGGATTTCACATCTGCAGAGCTGCATGATGATGTGACTTTTAGTGAAAGGGGGTAAAAGGTCCACTTTATTCCCACAGCCAGCAGAACATCCTTCGCTGTCCTCTGCACTTAGCCGTGACTTGGACAGGCCGAAGTGAAAGTAAAGCTACAGATACCATCCCGGTAACTGACGTAGCTGGAACGCCTACTCACTCTTCATGTACTGATAACGGAGCCTCATCAGAAGGAAGATTAGAGAACAGAAGGTGCAGCGTGTCCCAAACTCACCTCTCCAGGCAAAGCATTTAAAAAGGGACAGAAAGGAGGCGACTGTGGACACAATGATTTATTCTAATTTATGCAAATCTTATAAAAGAAACCAATTACCTTCCAATCAGATTGGATGATGATTTAACGCAGGCGTAATCAGCTGTGGTGACTCTACAAATCCCATCATGCATCTGCCCCTGGGAGTCATGCCTGTGGCTGTCAGAATTTTGCAATACCCCACGGGACGTGTAGTTCCACAACAGCTGGAGTACCGAGGTTTCCCATCCCTGGTCCAACATCTATAGGGCACATTCGAGAAGTCCCACACCACTCTTTCTGAAGATTTAAAGGTCAACTGAACTGAGCTAAAATACATTGCAGGTGCAAGAAAACAAAAAAAGAGGTTCAAAGTCTTCGGGCCCATTTACCCTCGTGAACTGCATCAACGCATGTTATGGCAGCCAACTGAAATAATGAGCTGCCAGCGCACCAAAATGCCCTGAAAATTGGATGTCAAAATGCGTAGCGTACTGTGCGTTGTGGTGTGCTGCAAAACGTGTGTCATCATTGGCTGCCATTCAAAATGCAGTGCCGCAAAGCATTAGTGTTAATGGGCATCTACAATGTTAGTTACAAAGCAGCCACAGCTCAAGTAGAAAAGCCTGTCCCTGGCCAGCATGGTGCTGACAAGGACCCTTGCTCTCTATGTGGAAGCAGCGGCCTCTCTGCAGAGGTCTGACACACCTATAAACACTGTTGTCACTCACAGGAAGCAGGCCCAGAGCAATGATGTGCAGCCAACACAGTGCCTTTAGACAGGAAGTGGATGAAAGAGGCTGGAGGAGTTTAGCAGCAATAAGATGTAGCAAAGGATTAAAAATAGGTATAAACTGTAATTGTATATTTAAAAAAAAAAAACCACACACACAACAATTGTTTAAGCAAACTAAATATCACCCAAGTAGGGACCTAGTCCGATCTCTCCTCCTGTCCCTAGAGATACGCCAGAGCTGTAACCGTCTGCACCTGGTGAAGTGGTGCACACCCATCCCTGCTCCAAAGCCTCATGAGACCGGAGCATTCCCCTTCACAGGTAAAGCCGAGCCTGGGGACATGAAGAGGCGGCACACATGACATGAGAATGTTCTCTGAAGTCCACCGCCAACTTTACAGGTCAAAACACACCACGAGAGAAACCTCAGATGGAAGCTGAAATCCATTCCTCCCACTTATACCATTTTGTGAGTGTGTGGCTGGGGTGCCGGAAACAAACTGGGAAGGATAAGACACTGGATCTGAATTTTGGAGGCATCTGGGGTAACCTTGGGGGGTGTCGGGGTCAGTTCATGAAATGTGGAGAGAATGAGCATGCCGCGGAAATCGTGTACATGATGCAAATCTTTATATATTGCTAGACAAGATGTCGTCACACAAACCCAATTAGTTTCAGGGGTCCAATACCACACCCCCCTTTAATCAGGGCTCAGATGCCAATAATAAATAGGGAGAAGACTAGACAACAGATTGTTGCCGGTCCTCTTGACTTTTCCTTGTGACCAGGGGCGTCCTGAGGCACGTCCATCTGATTGACGCCTGCCATCTCTGTGATGGACACCGGCTGAGAGAGGAGGGGACGTTCACCCGGCAGGATGAGGTATGCCAACGTGTCCCCTCCTTTCTCCTGACACTGTCTGGCTCTCGGTCCATGACCGAGGGCCCGACTTATTAGAGGGGGTGACACCAAAATAACTGTCAGTCATTTTGGTGTCACCCCTGCAATGGTGACACCCGGGTGTGGGCCGTACCCCCCTAGTGACGCCACTGCTTGTGACCTATTGGCATGCACAGTAGCTTAGTGGTTAGCACTGCCAGCTTACAACACTGGGGGGTCCCCAGTACTACTGGGCAGGAAGCAGGCAAGTGACCCACAGCTGGCTGCCTCATTATAGGGACGGACCTATTAGCACTTCTGCTTTGCAGCAATGGGGGGTCACCAGTTCGAATCCCGGTCAGGACACTATGTGCATGTTCTCCCTGTGCTCGTGCGGGTTTCCTCCGGGTATTGTGGTTTCCTTCCAAACACAAGTTAGAAGGTAAAGTGGCTCATTTGTGTACCTTAGATTGTAAGCTGCAGGGCAGGGACTGATGCGAGTGTACATTGTCGGCACTCTATAGCCTATGATTAATAAATAAATACATTTACTGGATGTACACAATTACTGCGGTGCTTTCCAGGACAGCGTTGGCACTCGCAGTGAAGCTAGAAAAGTTGCGCCAGACGACAACTGACTTACGACAGCTGCCATCTGTGGCTTCTCACACAGGTATATAACATTGCGGAAGACTCCTTTAAGGAAAGGTACTTTTTGGCCATCTTACGCTGACCCGCCGCTGTGAGCCGGCCACACGTATAAATATCTTTTCACAATTCCTGCTGTGAAAGAAAGTGACTCAGAAGCTCAAACACGGATTTCAGATTACAGCGTAGATCCCCCGCAGGACGCCGACGCCCTTTCTGTGCAAACGCATCGTCCACAATGCGGCCCAATCACGGGGCATTTGTCTTTGGGAGGTTTTATTTTCCAACTCCTAAACAAAAGCAGAGCGCCCCGAGGCTTAT